GTCTCCCAGCAGCAGCCGATTGGCAACTGGGGGGGGGGGGGTACCCTGGCAGCCAATCAACGAGCCAGCATCAAAACCAGAAGTGCACTTCCAGTTCACAGCTGGCATTTCCAGGGGGTACATGGCCGATCTTAGGGGGTGCATATGCACCCCCTACACATTGCCAATGCATTAATATATGCTTGAAATATCCCAGATAGGGGGCCATGTGCTCTACTACAGAGGAAGGCAAAAGCCCCCCATGCTCCATACCAATGCAGTCTGTCTTCAACTGGAAGTTTACCTGAGCAGGGGCTGTGGTGTTGCTGCTCAGGTGGACCTTCTGGAACCAGATTCAGCTACAATGGCTTAAAAGCTATTCCACAACAGCAGAGGAGTACTGTGCCTAAAGGCTTGTTCTCCCCAGCAAGGAGCACTCCTTATCACAGTACCCGGAGACAGAGAGATTGCTTTGCCTACAGCATAAGACCTCAGCCTGAAAGCAGACACCCAGTATGTAATTTAGGGATGTCCCCCTGATTTAAATGGGATAATGCAAACTGACAAGAATTAGATCCAGGTGTAGCTGCTTAAATTAGCACCTAAACAATTTAAAATGGGCTAGACTCCATACTTCTGCCCTACTCTGAGATAGCAGAGACAGAGATTTTAAGACATTTCTTGCAATATTGTAATTCTCTTGGCAGGATTCCCTCCTGAATGAGTCTCACTTAGCTGAGTATCAAAAGTTCTCTCTCTGTGCAAGAAGCTAAGTGGTATTATGGACTACTAGATAATAGATTTTTTCCCAGATCACCTTGAATTGTAACCACAATAACAGTACATTTCTAAAAATATCCCACCACCCGCAATATCTATATTATTAAAATAATTATGTAGCAGTTGACCTGGTCAAATAATGGTAATACATTGCTGTGAAACTTGCACAGATATTGCAGCAGCAGTAAAGTTGCATTGCACGGCATTCCAGTTACCTTAGCACTGGAGCCCAAAGCATAAGCAGAGACTCCCCATGCCTGAAGAAGGGTGACTGTGCCCAAAAGCTTGCCAAGAATTTTTTCCAGCTCCTCAGTTGGTCTAATAAAAGATTTCACATCTACTCAAAGAACCTTGCCTTTCTAGTTCAAGATGCTCTAAAATTTGAATGCTTACTTGGTTAATGCTTAATTACGTTCAATGTCCTGTGTCTCCTGTTGATGTGGAGAACAGTTCATTGATCTAAATTTGGGATTATTTAAGCAAGGGGTTCCAAAAACTCCCAAACTCTCATTGTAAACATAACAGATTTTATCAACTTCTTTTGTTCATGAATGGAGTTCAAACTATGGCTATGACAGTTCCAATTAATTTTAGTTTAATTTAGTTAATGCATGGCACTCCATTGTCCCTTTGGACAATATTGAAAACAATTATTAAATAATTATGCACTTTAGATTAGGTCTTATTAAGCATTTATGCACTACAGGCTACCATGCGTATGTGCAGAAACCTTATTGTGATCTGAGGTACTCAAAGAAGATGCACTTTTGTCAATGAATTTCTACAACTACGGACTGTAAATTCACAAAGGCATTGGGGAACAAACTACAGTCATGTTGCTGTAATCCACTTTATACATTTGGGGAATTGTAATCCCATTATAGCAGGTGATCCAAATGGTATTTCTTAAAACAAAATAAATTACACTTGCGCCAGATATCAAGAAGCTAACAGCTCCTAAAATGCCAATCAATGGCTTATCAGATAGGCAGGATAAACTGGAAATGCACCAGGCTTCTCACACACTGTGTTAGTATAACTGACAAGGGGACATAATGCCAAGATTTGGATATAGAACAAGTCCAGGAATTTCCTCTGTGCTCTGTCAGCAACTCTACTTTCCCAGTGTTTCAAAACACAGCCATTATCACTATTTCACTGTAATAAAGGTCACAGGAAACCAGAAGGCCCCTTAGAAATCACCTACCAGCCTTTATCTTTTGCTAGCTGCAACAGCATATCAACTGCAAACCCACAATAACTACAGTTGTTCAAATGGCCACTAACTCCTAAAGAAAGTTCTCTTAGCTTTTTTAACAAAAGAGGTTCACTGACAAAAAAGGATAATACAGAATTAAGATTGCCAGGTGATGATTCATACCCTTCCAGAACACCAAGTTCAATCACACACACACTTCTGAAGACCAGGTAGATTTAACATACCCTGCAGAGCAACCTCTGCTTTCTGACCACTGCTGCCAAATGCCTATTACATGCTTCTCTTCTGATAATTCAAATCACTCAGAAAATAAGATATGTGACGTGACTACTTTTAAGAACAGCCCAATGCCTTTTCTTTGCTAATGCAAAACTTTGTATTTAACCTACAGAATAAAGTTATTTCCAATAGCTCACAAAACAAACTCCCTGACCCCACTCCGGAGAAAGGGTATGATTCCTGCTCAGCTTTACACCGCCTTCACATGTATAGGCAGCTTCCCAGCTAACATATGCTTTCACTTAAATATGTATGCCATTCTCAGATCCACCTCACTGTCAACAACCCTCTGGGGTTTAAGGCCTGTGAACACTGCTGCTAACACAACCCACAGCAAATGGAGACATCCTGGATCACTCCTGACACACTTCTCTCGAGCACACACCCAACCCCACTGTCTCACCCCACAGTTGACGCCTGGACAAGCTGCTCCAACTAATTCCTCTATCAGTCACCTAAATAAGGTAAAATGTGTACAGATAACCCCTAACTCCAGGGGAAAGAATGAAAACTGTACTGACTTGTACTTTAGTGGCAGTGCAAGAGTGATGTTATAGCTGCGATGGTCCAGAAATTATGAGGCAAGTCTTGCATTTGAAAGCTTGTCTAACTTCATCCCAACCACACAGTTGGTCCAAATGAAAGCTATTATCACTGTAAGAAATAAATCCCTGCCCCTTGCTGGTACTTGAAACATAATTTCTGACTTTTCAGAGGCCTGGCTCTGAACTACACGCTTGGGAAGGGCTCCAGAGCCTTAAGTCCTTGTTAACAAAGGTTTTTATTTTTAGCTATTTAAGTTATTTTCAGTTATTTAACATAATTTCTGACTTTTCAGAGGCCTGACAGAACTACACACTTAGGGAGAGCACCAGACATCTGCAAGGAGCTTCAGATCCTTGTTAATAAAGGTTTTACTTGTAGTTATTTAAGCAACACTCTAACAAATCTCTGGCCCTGGGCCAGGGGCCGAACCCTACTTCCACGGGAGACGAAAGGCCTGTGGCCACTTGTTGTCTTTTAGGGCCTGCAGTGGAAACAAGGCCGGCCCACGAGTGAGGTTTACTTTCTGCGCCAGCTGGACAAGGAAACCCCCCTAGCACCCATCCAGCCCGCTGAGGCGCGTCAGGGGCCGGGGCTGCGCAGCGCGGGGGGCTCAGGGCAGTGCGTTGCCGCCCGCGCCCTCAGGGCCGGGCCCGCGCAGGCGCGTACGCCGCTTCCACGAAACCGCCCGCCTGCCTTGTCCCTCGCAGAGGGCACCGGTACTACGCACGCGCAGAGGCCCACCGCCCCACGCAAGCCACCTGACTGCGCAGGCGCAACAGCTCCGCCGCGAGTCCCCCGGGGCAGGCGTAGGCACTGCGCATGCGCCCCGGCGAGCGCTACGTGCTAACGTAGAATTCGCGCAGGGTGTGAGCCTGCGCAGGGCCAGCGGGGCTGTGTCTCGCGCCTGCGCAGAGCACGGCCGCGGGGCCTTGTGGGATACTGCGGCCCAGACAGGCTGGTGAGGCAGGCGGCGGTTGCTACTCGGCGGCGGGCGTTTTTGTGCGCGGGGCCCGGGCCCGCGGCCGGCGGGAAGCGGCCAGAGGCTGCCCGGTCCC